TGAGTTTGTTCTAATGCCAAACTTACTCTACGCTGTTAGAAGTGTAATAGAACTATTTTGTAATATTGCATCGTTTTAGTCATACAAGTTCCTGCAGGTTACCAATTCTGAAAGAGAAAAATTATGCAAGAAGCCCCACCCTGCAGGCTGACAGCATTGGTTCCTTAGGTTTGTTACACCTAAAATTCAGCAAGTCTGAATCAGACTGTCATTGGTACTATGTAGTTTCGATGCAGAAATGCTCAGTCATGGTGCTGATTTTGCTCACGATGCATCTTTCAGCATGTAACACATCACATAAATATAACAACAAGGTGAAAAAACTAGATGTTCCCTGCAGGGAATCTTTCAGGTGTTCTGGGAGATTAAAAAATCGGGGTAAGGGCATACCGAAAACTCTGGATTATGAATGACATTGGCCCATTTCGACTCAAATTTGACAAACCATGCATTGTTTGAAATCACAAAGCCTCATGATAAAAATGGTTTAAACCCATTTTAAGACACCAGTATTGCAGCAACAATAGTTTCCATTTTGTGTTAACAGATTAGCTGTAGTTTCTTACCTTTCTACCTCTGTAAGGGCACGTACTTGTTAAATCACTCTGTGCTCCCAGTTTGTACCATAAAGATCATATACACTTACAAAATGCTTCCAAGCTGTTAGTCTTAGTGAAAAAGGAGGCAAATGCTAAAGAATTTAATACCTTTACTGAGTTAAGCATAATGGCTAAAAAGGCTGCGAATATTTTACCTCAAGATTGTCATGAAAAGTGAAAATAGTGATATGTGAAAATATTAATGAGTTGCAGGACTATCCATATCCTCTGACTGGCACTGTTTACCTCCTATCTGTATTATCTCATGACGCTGCTGACTAACTGGATGCCCTTTTTAGACCTGTCTGTACCACACACAAACATTTCTGCCTCAGCTCTTTACTTTTTACAATATTACACCAGCACTTTCCTTGGCAGTTCCATTGCGATTGTTGCCGGCAGGCAACACCTTTTCCCCTCCTTTCACAGGCCTAATGCCTATTTATATAGGAGTTTCTGATGTTTCACTTCCCCATCAAACAAGGTAACAATGCCAATACTGTAAGCCGCTTTCATTCATCAAGCACACCGGCATCAGCTGAGTGATAAATCCACCCAATAGTGTGTGGGTGGTACGGGCTGTGTTCTCTGGGTGGTCATATTTGGGAAATGTGAAGTCCAATAAAGGTGTATAATTTGGAGGGCATTTTCATCCAGCCTGTACCAGATGTACACAAAATGTCCTGAGGTAAGCAGTTGTTGCAACACTACATGGATATATTTACAGGCATTGTCTTCATATTCCCTTTGGCATGTAAGTCTTAAATTTAATGAATTCCCTTGGGAACTGTTCACAAATAACAGCTCACTTCTTCCAGAAAATTTCCATTTAGCAAAAGATTCACTTTATGTTGCCTAATCACTGGAGGGAGTCCAGCTTGTGCCGCAATGAATAGGTCTTACTTATGCAGTCTCGTTGGAAACACTGTGAAAGATTTCCTGAGGATATGAGTGCTGGTGTGACTGTAAGTAACCTGCTGATGGATCAGATCACAGAGAAGTGACTGACAGAGGGCAGCGGGGAAGGAAGAGAGAAGCGAATGAGTGCTCTGGCTTCTTGACCTCTTAGCATAAGAAGTCTTCTAAGTTCAAACTCCAGTGATTACAAGCTGAGCTGGTATTTAAAGTGGCCCAAACCCCCCCTCCCCGTCATCTCCCCTCCTGCTCTCCCTCCCCCCATTCACTGCAGGCTCGTGTGAGTTGTGTGTGCATGTGTGACAATGTCTAGGCCTCCAATATAAAAGTACATACCACATGAACCTGCGTGTGTGTGTGTGGGTGTGTGTGTGTGTGTGTTCACTGGGGTTTAGTAGAGTAGGTGGGCAGGGTCAGGGGTTGCTTGGTGGGGTTCTGGAGCCAGTGGGCCTTCTTCATTGTTCAGACTGGAGGAGCCAAAGGGGGGCAACGAGTATTGATGCCGAAGGTATTGCCTGCTTACGGTAGGGGGTTAGCAATAAGTGTGTGTGTGTGTGTGTGTGTGTGTGTGTGTGTGTGTGTGTGTGTGTGTGGACCCTCGCTCCAGGAGGAACCCACAAAGGGGCGGGAAAAGGGAAAGTAATTACAGATGATATAGGACCAAAGAGAGGAAATTGATTAAAGAAAATGGGTGACCAGGAAGTAAGCAGCGATCTTTGTTTCCCCTTCAATTAAACTGAAATGTCTCAGTGGTCTCTCTCTTTGAGCTGCACACGGTGGAGCTGGACTGTGGGGAAAGTGGGCTCGGTGTGGGGGTTCCTTCCCTGAGGGAGGAGGAGATAGGGGGATACAGAGGTGATGTTGATGGATGGATGGGCTCAATCTCTGTGGATTCAGATACCCTCAGTATGTTACCATATTCACTGTATTTATCTGTGTGTGTGTGTGTGTGTGTGTGTGTGTCAGCTGTTTGCAGCCTGCAAGTTCACACCCAAAAGTTAAAGGATAATTCCCGTTTGTAACACCTGTAGGATTTGTTGGCATCATTGCTTAAAGATCTGTGGCGACATCATTACCTTGAAGTTAAGTAGGTCAAGATCATGCAATTTTCCAACACATCACAGTTCACAGACCAAGTGTTTGTTAGTTTTTCCATGCATGCTTTTCCAAGCTTTCATGCAAAATGTTTCCCTGATTGAGGCTACATGCAAATATTTTTCCATATAGCTTATCAAGACTCAATATTTTTACTATAAGCAATGTCAAATTTGGACAGGTTTGATTAAAAAAAATGGAATTCTAACCGCAGCAAACTGGATCTACAGTCTGTAACTACCGTTTATGTTTTCTTGGCATTGTTTGTTTTTCATGTACCAAGAGGATTTGAATGTGAGGGGGTTTTCTCCTTGAAATAAAGCAAATTCAAATCAAATTACCTGCAAAAAGTCATGTGCGGGTTCATCAGCATATGGGAACGCTAGATAAAAATCGTTTTTCCATTGGACTGTATCCTCAAACAAACCTTTAAGCCACCTCTCACTCTCTCTCATTTACTGTTACTTCTCTGTTACTTGCTTGGCAAATGTGAGTATACAGTATGAATAGTTTTACAAGGCCAAGGGAGAAATAACAGTGAGGGGAGGTGGCGGTGGTGTGTGTGTGTGTGTGTGTGTGTGTGTGTGTGTGTGTGTGTGTGTGTGTGTGTGTGTGTGTGTGTGTGTGGGTGTGTGGGAGGGAGGGAGGGAGGGAGGGAGCAGGGGTAAAGAAAGAGAAAACAGGTTGTCAGTGTGGTTGAACAGCAAAATAGCATTTTCTCCCTCGGGCTCAGCCTCCACAGATGTTTCATTCAGGCCCCATGGCAGGGCCACTCTAAAAAGTGCTCCAGTCCGACACAATTCAGCCCCTTTGTGCGCTGAAGGAGAGAAGCTCAGCCCACTGTTTACTGCTCATCCACCCCCCCATCCCCCCTTGTCTAACCCCCCTCCTCATGTTAGCAGGCGGAACAATTGGGGAGGGCCTTGCCCAGAGCTGGGGCGGTGTGGCAGGTCAACAGAATGGGCTGTGAATCCTGTGCCTCTGAATCCTCCGGGTGGGTGGTCCGGCTCTCTCCCCTCTCTGTGTCTCTCTCTCACACACATACACAGAGAAACACACCCTCTCCTCTCCTTCTCCTCTCCTCTCCTTCTCCTCTCCTCTCCTCTCCTCTCCTCTCCTCTCCTCTCAGTGATTAGCTCATCCACTGGGCCTGATGCTGTTGCCCAGACTGTGATGTGGCGATAGGTGGCCCCGGAGAGGAAGCCAGACGTGGGTCTCTCTTCGGGATTAGCGGACTCCCAGCTCCTCGTCCCGGGCAGGCCGAGCCGGGGCCCGGTGGGCAGGAGGGGCCTGCAGTGGCCCACGTGGAGCCTGCCAGCGACTGGGTGGCAGTTAACACTAATCCTGCTGCTGATTACCACTGGCATGAGGAAATAAACAGTAATAGATGAACCTACAATGCTGAGCACACATACGCTCTCACAACAGTTCCAACCGCACAAGACAAGTCATGCTGACACACTTGTACAGCGGCACACACGCACTTATAAACATCCAAAAAAGCAGCAGCAGCACAGCAACTAAAGATTACTTTCATTAGCGGCATTGTGCTGATTAGTTCCTTACTAAATCACTGAATCATCTGGTCTTTAAAATGTCAGAAGATAGCAACACACATGGTTATGATTTCCCAGGGCCCAACGAGTTGTATTTAAATGTCTACTTTCACTGTATCAACAGCTCCAGACTCAAGAACATTCACATCTGACAAAGAAAAGCTGCAGCAGTCAGAGTTTGGTATTTTGCTTGATCAATTATAAAATGAATCAACTATAAACATGTTTCCTACTTACTAATAAATTCATTGACCAGTTATTGCATCTCACTAGCATCAAGCATCGTTCTCAGATCACACCACAAACATACCAGAATGTCCTATTTCTTCAAGTGATATTTATCACCTTTAACAAACTAAAGACGAACTTACATATATGATTTATGCACTTTGCAGCTCACCCCCCCCTTTCATTTCTTTTACACACACCAAGAAAAAAAGGCAGCCTCTGGAGTGTTTCTCCTTAGTCACAGCGACATCTGGTGAGCATAAAATAGAACTGACATCAACGGACAAATGTACTGTTTGTAGCATTTTTTTGCAACAGTCTTAGTTTCTGAAGAACAAGACATACGAGAGATAATTGTTCCTTTATTGTGTGTTGTTTAGAGGAAGCATAATGACAAATGAATCCTTTAAACACAAAGAATTGAGTATTTTGGCACAAACATGCCATATTGTTCACTAAATTCAATAACTTCAGATTACCTCAGAGTTTTGTCAGTAACTATACGTTTTTCTGCAGAGAGAGGAGTGTCTGAGGCAACGTAACAGCGGTTTCCTCTAAAGGTTGTTTGAGCAACATTGTTCTCTGAAGATGTGGCCAGAACTGTTGATCCTCTTTTGTGGTTCCTTCCACAGCAGGAAATGCTCTGATGCATTGAAGAAGAAAAGCAGCAGATGAAAGCAACACCTTTGGCTGGAGGGCTTTAATAATATATTATAATATAGTATATATAATTGTTATATATTATAATCATTTCTATAGCTAGACGTTGCTGCTTTTACCACCAGCTGTTGCTGCAATCATATTCATCATGCCATTGATTTCCTTCTTTTTCCTGGGTAAGACTATTTGGATGTTTATTTATATTTTACGCATTGCACCTGTTTGTCTGACAGTAGTTATTTATTTATGTTTTACAGCTATTTAAGTGTTAAAATTTGTTGGGGGGGGGGATCAATATTAACACTTAATTTGATAAACTACTATTACTGATATCTTATGTGATAGCTATGTACAGTTATAAAATGTACCTGAAACATTGAAATCATCAAAAAAATCATCAGGCGAGCAGGGCCACACCTCACCATGCAGTAATTACATGAACCGTTCCTGGTGAGGTTTACAGTTTGCAGCGCTTCTGTGAGTCATATAGGTGGATGATACAGTGCAAATTTAAATCTGTCAATTGAGCATTTTAGAATTACAGTAACATTACTTCACTTATATACCCTGATGTGGTGCTTTCACTGATTGTTTTATTCATGTTGTTCAATAGAGATTGTTAAAATTGGGGAGGAAATTACTTTACCTGTAAATATGCTGCATTATAGTTACTTTTTTCATCATACGTCTGTGCAAAAGATATAGATATAAGATATAAGTAAATATTTTTTCTACCTTGAGCTGTTCCATAGTAATATATTGATTATCACTTACAATTTCCAGCTCTTACATGCATGCATTTTCTTCTATTTTGGAATCCTGCCAGTTTTACGTTCGCTTATATTAACAAAATTATAAATAATGATGCATTTTGCTGATACAGTGGGTGGCATGCATGTGGGGTGAGGACCATTTGCAGGGTGCTAAACAAACACAGAAAAAAATGCATAAAAATTCCACAGACCAGTTTGCTAAATTAAGTTAATGATAACAAAAGGGTTTTTTTTTAAAAAAAATCCAAGTTGCCAAGTTTCTTCTTACTCCAACTTTGGTAAAATTTTGTGTTCACTTTTTTAGAAAGTTTTCTCTTTTTGTGCAGGTTTGGTTGTGGTGTCTGTCATGGCACAGGTGCCAACACTGGGTGAAAAGTCTATTACTGCTGGACCAGAACCACCCTCCACCACCCTAATGACCAGCAGCACCCCCAGTACCACCAGTACCACCAGTACCACCAGTAACACCGGTACAAGCAGTCCCATCAGCGTCACCAACACCATGAGTACCCTAAGTTCCACCAGCAGCATGAACACCCCCAACACCGACAGGACGCCTTTGACCACAAAGGGCAAAAGTGAGAGCTCTTACCTTTGTAGCCTAAACCTTCTTAAGTGTTGAATTACCCTGAAATAGATCTATCAGGGATTTTTAACCGGATAGCTGGTCAATCTATCATCATCTCTTCAATGTTTTGATGATTGTTGATGTTTGTGTTTTGTAAAATAACATGCTTTTCTCATTCAGGTTCGATCACACCAAAACCCAACGATCCTGGAACAACCACAGAAGCTACCACCAACCCCAAGAGTAAGCTGGGACTGCTTTTCTGCATTACTGAACATTCAGATACTCTCTATGTACAATTTCAGTTGGAAGAAGTGTCAGTGAAACATTTCAAATTAAATTTAGCATCAGCCACATTCAGATTTGGTATTTGTTAGATAGTTGATTGCAGCAGTTGTGACAATTGCATAAAAGATCATCATCCAACTTTACAGCTCTCCTATTTTACAGAGGATGCAGCTTGCAGCCTTGTCATGCAGCTGCTTATAGTGTAAACGCTCCATGAAACCCCTCCGATGATATGACGGGCTATGAGGTGACCACAGTGGAGCATTTAGAGTCAAATATTTCCCTCAGGACCAATGAGAGATCAGGTTCCCAGAAACACAACTGAAAATTAATTTTGCTCTAAGTCTGCTGGATGAAACTGGTTTCCAACTGGTTAGTCCACAAATCATCATTGTTGATATGTCACTGTTTTGCTTTCAACTTGTTCTGCTGCCCCCAAGTGAAAAGCTGCTTTAAACCCGTTAAATATGTACCGATCATCAAGTCAAGATGGAGCAGCCTTGGCAATCTAGTAGTGACTGATTATATTATGAATGGACAGATATTTTATGACAAATGATTGGCCGGTTTTTACTTGACAGTCGATTGGACTTGTTTGGTATTACTTCTCCTCGTTTCTTGCAGGCACCACAGCGAAGCCAACATCTGGAGGAGCAGGTGACAGCATTGGTGAGTTTTGATGTCCTCCAACACGTCTAAAATCATATCCAACCACAAATTGTTTTTGAGGTTGTAACTGTACTGTAAGTTTAGACATATTCAGTAAATTTACATTTTTGACTGGAGCATAGCCACAAAGACATTTATGATGATGAACGTCTTCCTCTTTGTGAACACGAACTGCGTTTCCTCTGTCAGGCTTCATCATCCTTATCATCATCATCATTGTAGCTCTGGCATTTGGAGTTGCTTGTTATGTGGCCCAGAAGAGAGGAAGAGTAAGTACAGTATCCCTTTGATTCCACTGCCCAACAAACAATAGTTCAGCATGTTGGGATGCTGGGAAGGATTTGCTTATTATTCGCTGGTTGCTAAATTGAAGCTTAGCAGAGTTTAGTATAAAGACTGCAAGCAGGGACGAACTGCCAATTCAACCCAAAGATGAAAAAATAAGCCAACTAATTCACACATTATATCTTGTTTATTCAGCCAAAATCCAAGCCCAGAAAGTTCTGTTTTAACAATAGACTGCACTGTAAAACATGTTGAAGTAATTTAGTCAAATCAACATCAATCATTAAATGTATCAGTTTTGGTCATTCCTATTTATTTTTAACTTAAAATGTCTTGTTTATATTTCTGGCTACTTTAAAACTTAAAAACAGGAGTTCTGATAACTTGGGTCGTTGTGACTTAAAACAATGAGATGAATGGATAAAGAGTTGCGGATTCACTGAACTCAATAAGTGAAGTCTATAAGAAACAAAGTTAGCAGACTCAGCAGACTGCAAAAGAGAGTTAAAACTCCCCAAAGACTTGTAGTTTGCAGTTTGAGAAAACAGAAATGGTGGAGACATACAGTGTATCTTCAATACATGTTAAATTAAGTTATGGTTGTTTTGTTCATAATAATCCATGACAAAGCTTAGTCTTAAATTCAGTGTTTATGCATCAACTTATTATTTATCTTGCTGTAGCTGGTAACAGTCTTTGCACTGACTTTGGTCAAGCATGGCTTTAGCAGAGCGTAAGATCACAATGCTAAATGATGAAGAAAGCGTTTGAACTTAGTAAATATAAAGGAAAAGTGTCTTTAACCTGTGTCAAAATTTATTGAAGTTCAGTCAGTTTAACTCAACTAGTTTTGCACTTTCGTGACTCATAAGATGACTTTACACAAACTGAACAACGGAAGTGCAGTTAGCTCACATTTCTAAGGCAGCAGGGGAATTTATGTTACTGAGCTGAATGAACCTACGTGAAATTAGGATTTGCTGTGTATTTCTTAGCAAAGGATGCACGTGTTAGTTAGTGGGCTTTGGGTGATAGTAGGCAGACTGTTCTGCACCTTTGGACAGGCTTGTCGTTTCCTCAGTTTCAGTCTTTATGCTGAATTGAAACATCTGGCTGCTGGTTGTTGCTGGTTGCATACAGACATAAAAGTGGAGAAAGTGTCACATATCCACTAGTTTAATGATTTGCTAAAAAAAACAAAACTGAACAATAATGGATTTAACGTGTGGTCCTCTCTGTGTGTTATGAATCTTCCCACAGCGCTACTCTGTTGATTTCACTTCCAGGCCAGATGAAGCCAACATCCCTCTCAGCACTATGGACCCTGAGCTGCCTCTTGAATCTGTCCCTCAAAACGGTCGGTTCAACACAATCAGCTAGATCAACAACTAACTGTACAGACAATATCCGACCTTAGCAAAATGTATTCCAATATTTGAAACAGGTGGTGCTGTTTTTTTCACAATATAATATTTCCTAATCCTTTTTCAGGCCTACAAACTTTTGAAAGTATAGAAACGACAGAAAAAGAGCCTCAAGAAGCCGAAGCAAAACCTGAAGAACCAGAGGAGCAGAAAGGTAACAACAAAAATATGACTTATGAGATTTAATTTATCTTTTGTGTTGTATCTGTTTTATCTGGAGCAACAGGAGTGAGACTTTTACGTTTATCAAATGAAGTCAGTGTGAGTTGTGGGCTGATGGTGTGTTATGTCCCTTCCTCTTTCTTAAGATCAGTTAAACAGAATAAAGGGAAGTACAGTTTGTGACAGCACTTTACAAATTCTACATAATGCACCACACTGACATGCTGTAAATATGAGAATATTAACCAAAACACAGTTTTAAGTGACCACAGGCTTTGATTTAATGACTTAATAAAAATGAGAATGTTAGATTTTTATTGTATAATACACAAAATTGTGAAATATGAAACCACTACATTTTTAGGAATTGACTGTCCACACCAATATTGTGGGGTACTTTTTTAAGGGCAAATTTGACATTAAGCACAGCAGTCTGACTCACACAAGTCTTGAAAAACAACCTGCATTAAGAACTTGTGATACATAAGAACTTCCAGCAAACATTTTGAAATGTCTGTGGTGGAAACTGTACACGCAATCGACAGACAGTTCCCTAGTTCGAAGAGAGAAAAAAAACTTTGTAAAACATCACCTGCAGTACTCAAGTCCACCACCTGATGGAAATGGAAGCCAACTTAATAAATGAAGTTTGTCATAACCACACCTGACACCTAAAGTCTCCAACAGGAGTTGCTAAACAAGCTGCCGTCTGGCCAAAGAGAAGCGTTGTTCATGTCATTTAAATTCAGATGTTTAAAAAAGGCCTTTGTTTTAATTTACAAGTCAGAAAGCAAGTTTCAAAGTTCTAAATTGTAGAAACCAAAATATTTGTGAAATCAAGGGCATTTGTTCTTTTCTAAGTTGTATAGTTTATGTCATGTCTTCGTTAGACATTCAGAACAAGTAAAATACATTATTGCTTCTTTTTATCATTTTGACATTTTCATGTGTCAACTGTGACTGTATGAAGTGCTCCTGTTCTACTCCGAGGTGTCACCAAGTTAAAAGGTAAAGGTGCGATCATGTCTGGGCATGCCTCTCTGCCTTGAGCCACACTTTGTTTAAATGGACAGCGCTGATGGCTGCTTTGAAAAACAACCACCTTTCAAATGGGTCTCTTCCTCTCATGGGAGAGAAATAATGAAACTTTGTCTTCAGGAGACTTCACAGCAAACACAGCAATTAGACAGCCATATTTTTAATTATACATCTGGGTTTTCTACTAATGATTGCTAATCTGCTTGAAAATTTGGGATTATAAAACCTCCGTGACAAGAATTTCCCCCAAACCTAATCTTCTATAAATGTCTATGATCAAGAGACAGAAAATCACCTCAATTCTGCTTTACACAGACTACAAACTAATTTGGTGAAATAATATGTATATCTATATATTTATTGGGACTGTGGTTCAGTGAGCAGCTCAAACATGAAATATCTTTTCTTTAATCTCACTGCAAAGAGTTTCTGCTTTAAAAGTGGAAGCTACTTGGATGTTTGTCACTAACAAACATCTGAAAAACACAGAATGAGATAAGCGTCAAGGTGTCACTGGAAAACAAACATGATTGTGCAAACCAATGACTAAAGGAACTTAGAACAAAACTATATAGCTAGTATGAGGTAATGGAAAATGTAACTATTGGTAAAGAGTTCAGTTTAAAGATGAGTCAAATGCTGTTTGGGCTGCTTGAACATGGCCTGCAGTACTCGAGTCCACTACTTGATGGAAATGGAAGCCAAATTAATAAGTTCAATTTGTCATTTTTGCATAATTGCAAACATGTAATATTTTTACCAGTTGCTAAATGGCGTACAGAAGAGGAAAAACAAAACAAACAAAAAAAGAAGACGCAAATTTTACATACTTAAAGATCCAGTGTAGTGTTGCATAGCCAGACTGCTCTATAGCACTAGAATGTGTAGAATGGTCTGGTTGCATCGTATTACTTCCTGCTATTGGGGAAAACAACATTCTGGTGTGTTTGTATTTCTTTAAACCAATCACACTTGCTTTGCGTAGGGCTAAGGACATTGTGCAATGACAGTGGTGGAACATGTGCATGTAGAGAGGCAAGCAATTAACAAATTTAACAAAATTATCAACAAAATAAATAAATAAATTAACAAAAAAAACAAATAGATAGTAACACTGCTTCATTACATGATCCAAACTTTTGTCAAAACTTGATATTTTCAGCATACAGGCTCAGAGTTCGACATTGTTTGTTCCTGTAGTTAAGCAGATTTTGAAAATGGTAACACGTAGATAGCAGAGAGAGAATAGAAAGCTACATAAAATATGCAACCTCTGGAAGCCTTCTCCCCGCAGTCAACATCCACTGAGTCAGACTAAGGATTTAGTGGCATCTAGTGGTTAAGTTGTCAATTTCAACCAACAGAATACCCCTCATCTCACCCTCTGCTTCCTAAAAAATGTGAAAGGCCATCTCTAGAACTTGTGTTTGATGTATTCATTCTGACCTACTGTAGAAACTTGGTGCAACATGGCTGACTCTGTGATAAGCTGGCAAAAACATGATTCTTATGTTCAGGTGACTGTGCAACATTGAAAACATAGTTATGAATATTATATTCCACCTCTCTCAATAGAGACGCCTGAATCCTGTACATGGGACCTTTAAACTGATGCAAGATTACAAAAATCTTGGCAGGCACACTGGAGACAGCAAAGCTTAAACTACAAATACTGAGAAACAGTGGCACAAAGACTAGGGATGACACAGAAAACTGGTGGGGGAAAAAAACAAAGGCAGGACAAAACAGACACTGACACATGATGAAAGTGATTCCAGAATCAGCAAGCCAAAACCTGAAACAATGACAATATCATACACTTCATGAAGTGATATTTGCAAGCTGCCTGTAGTCCAACACAGCTTGTTTAACATAGAAAGACAGTAATGTGATGGAGACAAACATAATCAGCGGTTAGTTAACTTCTGTCTTTTATTGCTCTTTTCCTTTGTTTGGCAGGGTAATTTGTTTAAATCCCTATTTGTAGAGAGATGTTGCCAATAAGGAAGCATTGAAACTGAGTTAAAACTGGAACTTAAGAACATATTCATTAAGTTGCATATGTAAGTATTCAGATTTAAGTAAAAAAAAAAAAAAAAAACATCCAATTAAATGGTTGTCGATAAAATGTCATGCAGGTCGTAATAGTACATTTAGAATGATGAAACATGGAACATGATTGTCTATAGCAGAATGTTTCTAGTTAATGGAATCTGGGACAATGTGGGGAATGAGTTCACTCACTCGTTTGGGAGTGTGGTAGATGCAAACAGTGATACACCGACTGATAGAACTCCCTACACAGGTGTCTTCAGTTATTCTTACTGACCCAAGCTTAAAGTCAGTACAGACTGCCACAGACCTGAGAAGAGGTCTGATCAGCCAGAATAAGTGAAATCACTTGTGTGGGTGGAGCCACGCCATGCTGAACCTCTAAGTATGGAACCACAGAGAGGTAGGCAATTAGCCTAGAGGCAGGTTAAACAGCTACCCTGGCCCACTCCAAAGTAAAAGGAATAAAGCTCACTGAGTGACATGTTGCATCTTGTTTGTCTAAAGATCGATGTGTGCTGGAAACAAATTAGTTTTGTACAACATGTTATCTGTCAAAAGTGTTCACAGCTGTTTCACACAGCCACACTGAAAGGCAGGAAACCAACCACTGCAAATGGCAAGAAATGGCATTGGTTAAAATAACAGTTAAACATTTAATCTTTTTTCCTGCATTTAGGATCAGCCTAAATGCATTTAACTGTATTTTTATGCCTCAGGTCTATTGTCTTCCCTTTTATGTATGTAACTACAGTGACAGTGTGTTGGGCTCTAAGTGCTGTAAAAACGCAGGTGACCGACAAGTCATTGCCAAACAGAAGAAACCTTCATCTTTACAGCCTTTGCAGACTGAAGCTGCCGCTCTCACGTCTTCTTTTGCTAAAATGACTGCATAGATGTGATGTAAGAAAGAGTATTACATTTATTTATTTGTACACAAAAAGTGAAGGCTGTTTCCTGTGAAAGATGTAAAAAAAAGGGAGCTCAGAGCATACAAAAATTCAAACCATGTTCCCGTTCTCACCACACATCCGTATGATTCCTGAATGATGGAGGACTGATTGTTGGATAATTTTTTGGAAAGTCAACAGATGCCTTAACATTTACACAACAGTATTGGGTCAGTGCTAAAGTTAGCTCGCTAACATCTCCAGGTGTAATGACCCAATTCCAGTCTCCACACTCATGGACTTGCAGACTTTGAGGCATGTTCCTGCTAAGCGTGTACAGGCTTTTTGACACGATCGTGCGTCCTTTCTGTGAGAGTGCATGTCTGCAAATTTCCGTGATAGTTCATAGTGAGATTGTGGATGTTGATGGTGGCTGAGATTTGGAAAATGGAGAAATGTTTATTGTCTCAGTTTACAGCTGAGGCTCATGGCATTGTGATTAGTTGTACAGTTAATTAGTCATAAACCAAAATATTGTGCAACTAGAAATATTGTCCTACTGTTGGCGCCAGATAAAAAATCACCAAACTCACTGTGATCGAGCCTCTTGGCATCGCGGAAATCTGCACCAAATTTCATGGCAGTCCAACTCATGGGTTTTGAGATACTTCAGAGGGAGTTGCATAGTGTAACTAGTTCTTGAAGAGCAAAAGTGCATCCACTCGCTAGAAACTATTTTGCTGCTTTTCTACCAAAGTCATGGCAACAAGCCTCTGGGAAGTCACTGAACCCAGCAGTTGTTCCTCAAGTGTTAATTACGGAGGTCTAGAGGTGCTGGGAGGCAGATTTTTTAACCTTGCAGAGAGCTTCGCTGGCTTTCCCCTGCTGTTGCAGCCTCCGTGCCTCAAGAGATGTTAAACTCTTTTTGTAGAAGTCACTTTTTAACCATTAACTTTTCACATAATGACAGATCACATTTCCAGTGTAGGTATACCAATTTCTAAGCTGACAGTCAGGTCAAGAGTCCACCTATGAGTCTAGCATTCTGCCATAAAGCAGGCAGAAATGATGTTTCTCTGAAGGCTGGAATGATGCCTGAGGTGCCATCTTAGTCATGGCAGAATTATGTCTCAAACAGCGGTCATCTTCCTCTCCCCTTCATCTCCGCTTTCCCTCTGCCTAAAACTGGGTCAGATAATGACGGGGCCGCCCTACTTTCCCACAGCCTCCAACAGCTGCATGGCTGCGGCTCATTAAGAGCTGGTCAGTAATCAGCCGCCTCATTACCAACATGGTGGCCCCCTCAAACGCCCTCGCTGGAGATAAGTCCCCGCCTGAGCACAAACCACTTCAGGCTATATGAGTGGAAATGCTGTTGTTATGTGTCAGCTGACTACAGAACACACTGATCCAAACAGCAAATCTGCAATGTCATTGAAGATTAAAGTGATGGGGTAATGTCTTAGGAATATTACACAATTAGTGAGGTGCAAGAGTTTAAGTTCCTGTTGAGTAAGGTATGACATAAATGTCAGGTCTTACCAGAATATTCCTAAATGACTCAGGCTGTGTGTGGTTTTTACTTACACACATGTTGTTTTCATTTATATTCATTATGCTAACTGAAAACAAAAGAAAAACAGCATTAATGTTTTTGAGAATGACTCAAAAAGCTGTGTGGTTTGCTTTTGTTGTCCTTCACAGCTGAGGCTGATAAATCTGTTGTTGATCCCAGCGCTGAGTCTGTAGCTCCAGCTCCATCTGCAGACAGCGCCGAGGACAAACCCAAAGCAGATGTTGTTGAGCAGAGTCCTGCTGCACCTGCGGAGCCCAGCGTGGAAGAGAAAACTGACGACGAAGGCGCCGTCTCCGGCAAGACCTCAGTGGAGTCGCTGAAGGAGACGAATGAAAACAACAGCAACAATGTTGACCTCAGTCAGAAGACAGGTTGATGTTTAAATAACTGACTTGCAGTTCATCTAAAATGTCAACAGTTTCACAATTCTTTCACAGTTTTATAGTTTACAGTGTCAAACACTGATTACGTCGTCTTCACCCACTCAGGTCAGACACAGAGGATTGCGCCTCCACTTACAGTAGCTCTACATGGGGGTTATGTAGAATGAATTGTGACAGCTCCTTTCCTGTGTTCATATCTCAGTCCCAACTTAATGCGGCATGTCCTTTCATCACATTTTCCTTTGAACTGTGGGGCAAAAAAGGGAACTTAATTTCCAGGTATATTGTGCATGCCTTGCCATTCACTTTCTTGTGCAACACTAAAAGATGAGTTTAGTTTTTTCAAGCCTAGCTGGCTGTAAAAGTTTTTTTTCCTGTGATGAGGGTCAAGATCCACAGTCTTACATGTTATTTCTGCAAAAACAAATCCCAAAGATCAGAGGCCAAGTTAGGTGGCATCTTACAAAACTAGTCTTTAGTCACAAAACTGTCACTGTACAACACCAGACAATGTTTTCTTGAGATTTGATCACATCATATGAGGTGCAATTACAATGACTAATAGCTCTTTCAACCCACTTTTATCATTTCAATGTATGTCTGTATTGTGTAAAGATTTTGAATCTGTCTGACTTTTAGAAACAGCCTTATGCATTGCCTAGACATGTGACTTTTTATTTGCTGTAACAAAATATTTCAATGGAAGATATTAGTTGCATCCCTGTTTGAAAATAACTGTAACCATTATTACATATAGTTAAACAAAGGTTATACTTTGTGAGTTAAACTATGTTAAATGTATATTTGGGTGTGAGTTTATTAATCTATCCTTGATTTTAAATCTCCTACTTAAACAACAAGCAAATGGTTTTTGAGTTGATGAAGTATGATTATCTTTGTGCCACCACTGCTAACCCCTTGTTTGTTGGTCTGTTGAACAGATATGAAGTTAAGCAACACCTTCTGGGAAGTTCCTCTCAACTGTCCGGTGTGAGATGTAATTGCCACCTTGTAGCTGTGCTGTTCCTCAGAAACTGGGTAAGATTACAGTAGACTGATGTTCTGCTGCAGCTGCAGCTCAGGTGTTACTAAAGAGACAAACTCCAGCCACAAGCTGCAAATCAACAGACCACACATGGCCACTGGGAGTGCTGTGTTCCTGCCCTAAACATCCATCCATCCATTATCTATACACCGCTTAATCCTCACAAGGGTCACGGAGGGGCTAGAGCCTATTCCAGCTGACTCAGGGTGACAACCTGGACAGGTCGCCAGTCTATCACAGGGCTACACAGACAGACAGACAGACAGACAGACAGACAAACAAGCACACTCACATTCACACCTATGGACAATTTAGAATCACCAATTCACCTCAGCAGGTTTTTTGGGTGTGAAAAGAAACCACATGAACATGCAAACTCCACAGATCCCAGGTGTCCTAACTGGGACACAAACCAGGGATCTTCTAGCTGTGAGGCGATGGTGCTAACCACAGAGGTACCGTGCAACCCCGGTCCTGAACAGCATATTAAAAATAGAGATGTCATAACTGTTAAGTCTAAATTTGTTAAATGCTCTTATAAATCACCTTAATGGCCTGACATCTAGTAGTTTATAAATACACACTTTGGAAACTGCATGTAAAAAGGTGTCTTAATGTAAGATGCAATATTTTTACATACAGTGTATATTGTTTCAAACAGAGCTTTTATTTTACTTGAAAAAACAACATTAAATATTAAATCAAGGTCTATTTTTGAGCTTTTGTACAAGATGCTGACTGCATCTTTTGGTCTCATTATCACAAGACCATGGTAAGGACAACTAAAACTGCTAAAGACCAGGCATAAAATAGACTGAGTTTAGATTTGACTGTCAAACTCCTATTTCGGAAGTCAAAAATCCATGCTCATCTATAGTTTACTATACCTTTCTTTCCCTTCTACTTTATTGATGCAAAACCATTTCTTTTCCATCAAAATCTCCTCGTTTTTGTTTTTTTGTTGTTAGCTATAAATCACGCTCGACTTCATTCCTCCATTCCTCTGATCCTTCCTGCTCTATCTCCCACTGATGGATGAGATTCTTCTCACACGAGTAGTAACACGGGCCCTCTCCGTCTAATCATCATGTGCTTCAGGATGTAAGACCCACATCTGCACCTGCACACCCTCTTCTCTTCCTATCAGCTCAGAGACACTCAGGGCTGCAGCCCGAGGCCCAAGGAATTCACGCCGCTCTTAACAGCTGATGATAAGCTCACATCTGAGAAGCGAACCGCTCAGGAGCTCAGTGTTAGCAGTCACGGATCATCTCCGTTCTCACAAAAACACCAGCTTCAGAAATCCCAAACATCTCTGTTTCAGCAAAGGTAGTTTATCAGTTTTAGCTCCATGTCTCTAAATAGTTGTTCATATAGCGACTGTGTCTTCAAGATATTAAAAATAAAACCACAAGTACAAAATGTAATGAGCCAATATCCATTTTGTTTTTGAAGCTGTATATCTTAAAAACCTTTTAGAAAATGGCCTGTTATCTTCTCTGAGGCAAACCTGAGCAGTTTAGTAGTGTGTTAGGTAGGTAGGTTGCTCTAAGAGTTTGCCACTGTTCTCTTCTGTCTCTTCATATAATCCCAGTCTGATGATGATGATGATGATCAGGGCTCTGTGGGGGCTCCTTGTTGTTCTTTTTTTTTTTAACTGAAGTTTATGTCTGGTTAAACATTTGCTGTCACTGTCATACTGCATCACCAATAAGATGCCTCTCTAATGGTGTTGTCTAAGAGACAGGAATCAAAAAATGTAAAATGCCTCAAATTGTTTGTATAACACTGTATAAATACAATCAGTTTGATGAGCACCTCTTTTACATATCTCTAATCTATCAACATTCTCTTCTGGCTGTACACTTCAATTCTAAAATCAGCATTATTTTAAGACTTAAAAATAAATAAGTTGCACTTCTAACAAAATGACATTTTGTAGATGACCCGATCCGAAACCTTTGCCTACAACTAACTAACAATAAAAATGATTCATCTCATCACACCCCAAAAACTTTAGTTTACTGTGCCATATGATACGTCATATTGTGTGTGGCTTTCCAACATTACTTAATTAGGAAAGCAAAACAGTGCTATATAAACATTTCTTGGAGACGGTGTTACACCTGTTACCTTACACATCTTTAATGTAGACGATATGCAATTTGCTGAATTTATATTATATCTGACGGTGTAACATTGACTTAAGTTTAGACTGCTGCACTGTGACAAAAGTCTTCTATTTGAGGAAATACATGTCATATGGGTTTTAAGATGGCCTAAAGCAGTGTTATTGTTGTGCAGCAACCCTTTTTTATTCTTATTTTAGTAAAGTTGTCGTAGAAAATTTCATTCAAAATAACCATGACATACATACAAGTGATTGAAATAAGTTTTTTTAAAAAACAAAACATCAAAAGCAGTAACTTTTGTTCAGTGATTTATGGTTTCTAATAATACCTGGACCTGACAGCATGTAACATAATATTTGTGGAAAACTTGCTGGTAAGCTGTCAAACACGCTGTTGGCATGTTTTTTAGTTCTTTGTCCCTCATTCAAAGCAACTGGAAATGACGATGCCTCAGGTGCACACACTCACTCCTCCTTATAAATGACTTGACCAAACGAAAGACCCTCAAAATGTTTGTCACGTTTATGCTTTAACAACCCTCTGATTGTGTTCTGTGAAAAAGTAGATGAGTTTATATAAATTCATTGTCTAAAAGTTATCTTAAAATCTCTCTAAGCTAGATAAGTTTTTGTTGTTGTTTTTTTTTTCCTTTATGTAAAAGAAACTGCCCGAGCTGTACAGATGACTGAATCTTCTCCCTAGTGAACTGTAAAACTCTTGTGTTACTCCCATGAACGTGAGCCTGTCCCCCATAAGACTACAATGAACAAGTGTTGTAAAACACTGACTACCCCCAATGTGACAAACAGCAGAGAAAAGAAAAAGTGAACACTTGACTCATTCCCACCTGGTTTGGGAAGTGATGAGCAAGCCGGAGTTGAAAGGCTACAGCGGAAGATAATGGATATGAGCTGACAGGTCGTAAACTAAAGCAGCATAATTAGACCTGGGATTTCACTGTTATTTTCCAGTCAGAGCGCAGCTTTCATGTTTGATGGCTGATGTTGGAGGAAACTGTCTGTACCACCAGGGTACAGACAGAAGAGAAAGAGTGACAGACTGAGGTTTTACCGTGCGAGACATTCGAGGCTAGTAGTTAGTGCGACGCAGGTTGTTTTATTTGAAGAGGTTCTTATTGGAAAGAGCTGCTGCTGCTGGTTCAGAGACAGGTCATGGAGCTGAGGAGAGTCCGAGATCTGATTGTGGTGTGTGAGGAACATAAGTGGTACTCGAGAGAATAAAATATGAACACACACATATATTTTTAGTGGTCATCTGTGTTTTGTGATTCTAAGTCATCATTTCCTTGGGAGACGTGTAAACATCGATTTGTGGTGGGCAGGAAGACAATGGAGCTTGTGCTGAATACAGGATCTTTATCTCGGTAATAACAGTGAGGGGAAGCTTCCTGCTTGTTTGGTTTGATGTGGTTCACAGTGGCAGGTCGGCCATTACACCTGGGCATCTTTACAGAAGGGAGGGACTGTCGGAAAACATAGACCGGCACTCCCCCAACACTACCAGGAGAAAACAGCTGCTGGGGGCTGGTTCTGCCCCTTCCTCCCTCCACTTCCTGCCACAAACCATGGAGTTTTGGTCAAGAAACCGAAAACTTTAAATTACAAAGTCACGAAGACAGCAATTAGACTAGCATTATTCATACTGTGTTTGCAGTATAGGAGGTTTTGAGGTGAACAGCAGCGTGTAATCACTTTTTGATGTTAGCATTTAGGGGATTTTCATGTTCCTACAGGAATGGTTTGCTGAATGGTTTTACGTTCTTCATACCTACAAGGTAAAGTACCGCCAACAGTGATGACAAGTGTGCAAGACATGTACTTGCAGTTTAAAGTGAATAGGGGTTCTCTGATAGCACTTGTTAAATCACACGAGTGTTGATAGAAGCTGGACAGCATAAAGCCGGTGCTGGATTAAAATGACAGAACAACAGATAAGTGTCACTCAGCATTAGGAGAGATTGATTTATTTTTGACATTTGTTTTGGTAAGCTTTCATTCCTGCAAAACAAGAGGCAAATGGTGACCCATACTTAAAGTTTCATGATCACCATCACTTTTAGAAACACAAGATCCCAGATGCTAGTCCTAAAAGAAAATTCAATGATTGCATTATGACTCATTCTATACAGTACAAAAGAAAAGCATCTCCACAGAGACTGATTGACTCATTGTCATCAGGGTTTTAGGATGCAGCTTTGTTCACCCTCATCCTGACAGACGCACACCAGTAGGCAGTCATAAAGGTGTGCAATTCGATTAGAAGGTTCTCTCATTTTAGTTCAAAAGTTGGTAAGGTGGTATAAAGTGCTGGACAAATGCAAACCACTCATCTCACTTTTTAGGTTTTTTAGGAAGGGCCTTTAGAATATCTTTTCCAAATAACAAAGTTTTTACCCTCCTTTTGTAGAAAGTATAATTAAAATAAAACAACATAACAATTTTTAAACTATATTGCATTGGTATATATTAATCATGAGCAAATCATTTATGTGTGCATGTTTTCTACTTAAGTGAAGTCCAGTTATGATTTGAGTTGTCCAGTGTTTGATTCTTGTGGGACTCGCATGGCACGGGGTTGTCCACTAAGCCTAAGACTGGCATGTGCGGAGGCAAGACACTAAAGTGTTGTTTTGCCATCGTTGCTTTTTAAGTTCCTCCCGATGGCAAAACAACACTTCAGGGTTGTGTTGAGCACCCTGAATGGCAGCATTGCCACCACTAGGTGAATTAAAGACACACTGTAAAGCTTTTTGTAGAACCCTGCTAATGTTAAAAGGTGTCATATAAGTGCAGACCGTTTACTATTTATTGAACATCTTCGTTGTTTAATTGAATGTTTCA